TGGAGGTTGAATCAATTCCCCAATGGCCAATGATTTCATTAATGCCTATATAATGAAGCCTCCATAAAAACCCAGAAGAACTGGGTTTGGAGAGCTTCTGGATTGGTGAACACATGGAGGTGCTGAGAGAGTGGTGTCCCTGGAGAGGGTGCGGAGGCTCCGCCTCCTTCCCCCCTACTTTGATCTATGCGTCTCTTCCATTTGGCTGTTCCTGAATTATGTCCTCTTATAATAAACATTATTAAAAACACATATCTGAGTTCTGTGAGCCACGCTATCGAATTAATTGAACCCAAGAAAGTGGTCATGGGAACCTCTGATTTATAGCCAGTCAATCAAAAGCACAGGTGACAACTTGGGCTCATGACTACATCTGAGGTGGGGGAAAGGGTGGTCTTATGAGACTGAACTTCTCACTTGTGGAATCTGATGCTATCTCTGGGTACGTAGTGTCAGGACTGAACTGGATTCTTAGACACCAGCAAGTTGTCTGAGAATTGTTTGTTGATGTGGGGGGAAACCCCCTCCTCCGTTGGAAATTGAGTCTCAGAACTATTTCATGTGTTCGAAACAGGAAAGGTGAATGGTGACCAGGACCAGACACATGATATTATGTCACATGACATGAGCCACCAGCAACCCTCCCAACTGCACCATCAGCTCAAACGCAAATGTTTTGGTGGATGGTTTAACTTTATTCTTCCAAAACTAGTCTTAACTTTTACATTTTATTAAAAAATTAAATTAACACTATCTAAACACTCATGCCAGATGTTTATAAGATTGGTGGCATTGGATATGAATGAGTGCAGTGTTATTTCTCTTAAAGATGTGTTTGCAGCTCTGTTCATGGATTACACTATGTAAAGTCACATAAATGAAAGGTGTTTATAATATATTATAATATAATATAATATGACATATATTGTTTTTATATGTCTGGATATAGTTTTTCAATAAAAGAATGTTTTCAGCCCATGTAAAAAATTAAATGTGTGAAAGTTAGGAGGTTGGTGTATTGTGTGAGTTGGAACTTTGGCAGCAGTGTGTAATCTGGGAATGGTTGAGACCTAGAGTTTAATTGCAATGCTTAGGATTGCGGGGTTCAGTGAATAAAATGGATATAAAATAATTAGGTAATAACTTTTGCTTCTTCCTTTCACCTGATTGTTAATAAAGAGTAAAGTCCATCTTATCTGTACTAAAAATAGATTGAAAGGTATGAAAATAGATCAGCAAAAAACGTATTTAGAAAAAGAAGGCAAACCTTGGTGTTAACAAAGCACAAGTATTGTGACCTAAACCTTGCATTTTGTTGAAAGTACTTTTATATTTTTATTACTACTACTTCTAGTCTGACCTTTTCATTTTTCCCAGAAGAGCAAAATGGAGTTAGAAGTGAGGGAAGTGGAAGGACAGGGGGCCATAAAAGTGATGGAACACCCAGAAGGAATATAAGAAACTAAATATTGATCTTCGTTCTCTCAGTGCGGACTCTCGTGTTTCTCAGGATGTCATTACAGCTATGGTGGCATTGGTTAATCTGATCTGCTATTCAGCTGTGGTCCTGCTCAGCACTGAAAGAACACTTTGTTCATGGGCTTCAGCTGACAACCAGAGAGTTTTCTAAAGTAAGGGTTATAGTGAGAACATTCCTCTCCATGTGTTATGTAAGATATTTGGGGCATGCAGGACTCTGAGGCAATGAATAAAACTTGCTTTAAAAACAGACACAACTAAAAAAAAATGACACAATTTATACATTCAAATTAGTATTATCCTTCAAGGAGTCACACTGGGAGACATACTTATTCTAGCAAAGACACTATAGCTCAGAGCATTTTGGAGCTTTTTATTTTAGAGTTGCCTTTATAAGCAAGGGTAGGGGTTGTGAATCACATAGAACCATTTAGTGTTTCATCTCAATTTTTAGCCGTGTCACAGAAGGTTGATTACTTATTTTTCTCCTCCATAGACTTAACTCAAAATAACTTGGAATATTAAAAAAAATCAGATCTATTCAGTTATTCATTCACTTATTGACTCATTTAGTCTATAAATAGCCACTGACTGCCCCGTGTGCCAGGCTCTGTGTTAGTTTGCTGAGGATTCCATGATGCACAAGTTGGAAATTGTCCTTGCTCTGCTGGAGCTGATGTAATTGGAAAGACAGACCAAAACCACCCCCATAATAACCTGCTAACAAATTAAAGAAAAGACTTGCCAGTTGGGTAAATGGTATAAAGGAAACAGATAAGGAGCTGAACTGGAGACGTAACAAGTAGAAACCAGGTTGTTAGATGGGAAAAGTGACGTCAAAGCACAAATTCGGCCTTAAAGGTGTACAGTTGTCACCAATGGGAGTATTCAAATATGTAAGCTCTAAGCTTTAATCTTGGAGGACAAATTTGAAACCTGACTGGACTGAGCAGAGCCCACTGGTCCCATAGCAAAGCTTCTTTCCGTAGGATATGAGAACGTGATCCTAATCAGCAAAGGGGCCTCAAAAATGATAACAGTTGCTACAAAAAATCCGTGATATTAGATAGATTGTATCTCACTTGGCAGCCCACTTTTTTTGTTTGTTTGTTTTTCGGGTTTTTTGTTTTGTTTTGTTTTTTTTTTTGCTTTGGGCTTAAACACACACACACACACACACATGCACACACAATTTCTTTTCTCCCAGTTGGTAAAGCCATCTTGACTGTACTGTCTGTAAAGCCCTCGGATCTACAATCCTTCGTCTAGTGAGGACCTCAGAGTCCCCTGGGAGATGTCCCAGAGGCCCTCATGACTATAGAAGGGGCATACTTTATGCTGTGTTTGTTACTTGCAGGCCAAAGTGGGATGATATCAGCACCGTTAGGTTCTCAAACTCCTTCTCTAGGAGGATGCCATCAGTCCTGAGAAAGATTATGAGGCTGTGGGCAGCCCCGGTGGCTCAGTGGTTTAGTGCCACCTTCAGCTTGGGGTGTGATCCTGGAGACCCGGGATCGAGTCCCACATCGGGTTCCCAGCATGGAGCCTGCTTCTCCCTCTGCCTGTGTCTCTGCCTCTGTCTGTCATGAATAAATAAATAAAATCTTAAAAAAAAAAAAAAGATTATGAGGCTGTGCCCTGGCTTCATGGGAAAGCGTGCTAAGAACCATTCATGATGTCTGCGATAGGCATGGGATGAGGTCACATAATGTCAGTTTGCTCATTACGACGAGGAAGTTTGATCATTAGGTTAAGGTGGTGTCTAATAAATTTCTCCATTATGTAGGTATCTTTCCCCTTTGTAATGAAGGCATGCCTTGTGAGATGATATTTTGAGACCATGTGACTGCCCAGCATTTCACTGCCAGATGACTTGCCCAAGTTTGTAGCTCTAAGTCACAGAATTCTGACTCCCCGTCCCAAGTACTTTTTCTCCACCATGCTTGTTACATTCGTTAGCGCAGGAATATTTCAAGCAGGGCATGAAGACAGGGTTTCTAAAGACTAAGAATATCTACGTATTCTCTAGACCTTTATTGTTACTAAATGTGTTGAATAATAATGGTTTCATTAGAAGCTCCTATTTTGTGAGAAATAATTAGATGTCCCTTAATGTGGCTAAGGAAGAAATGGCAATATGGCTAAGTAAATGAATTATTACTATTACTATTCAAAAGAAAGAGACAGATGTTGTGGCCAATTCTCCTGCTCTCAAATACTCTTAAACAGGTTTCTTTTGCTCTTCCTCTTCTCTTTGAACAGTAGTGTGGATTTGTTGGATAGAAGGTTCTGTGCTGAGCATGAGTAACCATATCTTTCCTTTGAATCAACTATAACCCTAAATCAGGTATTTCATTTTTTAAAACCACACAGTGGTGGCTTTTATATTAGTTGAATCCCTGTTTTGACATTCTAAACACCAGGAGCTCTCCCAAAGACTTGCTGTGGCAGGGTAGTCCATGGGGTGATTATATAGGGATAACAGGACTGAAACAGTTCATAATTTAATGAGTTTTTGGATTTCTTATTTCCAGAATTAAAAAAGAACCTCTATGAATGTCAAATTCAGTAATTATCAAACTGAACAGAATTTGGCTCTATGTAACCAACTGGCATACTCTCCATAGATAACAACATGATTTGATATTTATAAAGGGCCTATTTCCCACCCCCGCCCCCCAGCTCAGACATCAGAAAGTCATTAAATATAAAGCCTTACATAATTCTGTGAAAAAACCCCTCACTTCTCTGGAGCTTTCCTAACCTCTAAATTAGACATTTCAAAAGAGATATTCTTTTGGTACAGGTTTTTTTCAGCTTTCCCTGAAACAGAGTGGCTAGTTACAGCCCAGCCCACAAACTGCCTCAGATTTAATGAAATTTAATGGATAATAATCATTGTCATCATAAATGCAAAGCCCCCTTGATGTTAGAGTGACAAGCGATTAAATTCTGGGGAGGGGAATGAGAGAAGGAAGTGGCCCCGGTCAGGCAGCTTCCTTCTGGTATTAGGTGTACACATTTGGGTGGATTTGGATTAGAAACATGAGAAAGCATAATTTTTGCCTTTAATTAAAAATTTGTTTCCAGCAGTTCCCTTGCCTAACACCTGAAGAAATACAGAGATGGATAACAATAATAGCTCATATTCATGTTCTAGGTGTTTCACACGAATATCATTTAATCCTCATAAGCAATCCTTTACACAGGTACAATTATTATTTTCCTTCTTTAAAAGATGAAGGAATGGGGGCCCAGAAAGTTGATGCAACACCCTGTAGGGTGATCCATCTTGCAAACCCAAACAAACAGCAGGACTGCAGAGTCAGAGACAGGCCACACCACTTCCCAAACTCTGCTGCCTCTCCACCAAAGGGGAGTGGGGAGATTTATAGTGCTTTTCATAGGAGGAATGCTAAGCACTTCTCTTGAATGTAATGATTACTTCCCATGGCAATCCTTTGATGCAGCTTATAAACCAAGAACTGGCGTTCCATCAATTGGGAAATTGACTTGTGTAAGACATTCCCTGTGCTCCTGGGAGATCCAGGCGGAAAAGTAAAGAGGCTCTTACCTTCACTCCTGGGAGTTCACCAATGGCTAGGACTCTCATCATGAAAGACAAATAGCATTCTTCCCAGCTGGAGTGTACTCATCCAATACTTGTTCTGCATTTCTCCCCAGGGACCAACATTCCTGGCAGAGAAAATGAAACCAGGATAATAACCATTGTAGAGATTATGAAATTGCTTCTTATCTGCATTCATACTCCAACCCTTTTTTAGTGCTTTCATACACCACTCCAAACTGATAGAATTATTTTCTTTATGACTCATAGATATATTTTGCTTCTCCATTTTTATCCTCTTTACTTTCAAGGAGATTAGATGATGAAGTAAGATTCACCCTGTAGCTCTCCGTGGGATTTTATTTAACCCCAACACATGGTCTGTGGACTGAAAAAAAATAAATTATGCTCATGTCTTACACTATCATATATATGTACTTATTAAAGGTTTACAAAAACATAACCTAATTATAGAATTTCTTAATTTAACAATCATTTATTGAATTCTTTCTAGGTGTAAAGCACTGCAATAGGTGCTGAAGATACAAGAGTAAGTAAGACATCATCCCTACCCTAAAGATGCTTATACTCATATGTGACATTGTGTGACTGTTAGTCTAGACTTGCTGGGCTGTCTTGATTGACATCTGTTTCCCCAGTGTGATTATAAATAGCACCGCCTTTTGCTCTAAAAAGTATCCAAGTTTGGGTAATAAATTACAGATACCCTATAATAATATTTCCCACTAGATGATGTTTTTGAACTACTTGTAATTCTTAGCTATAAATAAAAAGCACAAACAGCGAAGGCCCCCAAAATGTACTGACATGCTGTCTTCATTTCAGAATCACTATTTCTGTCACCGTGTGTCAGGTGAAGTAAGTTCACTGGGAAAGTGTGGCATTTGGGTTTACATTATTTTTTAAAATGCAACTACTAAAAAGAATAAAAATAAAAAAATAAAATGCAACTACTGTTCACCCTATATCAGGAGGATGGAAAACGTTGGCTAGAAAATGTAAGAAGACAAGAGCACATTATAGCAAATGGAGGTAATACCATGTATCATACCCTCAACTCCGATTTTGGTAGGAGCCTAAAGTGGACAGGATACGAGGGTTTTTGGCAGCAAGGGGTATGTCACGTGGAACCAGCAAAGCAAAGGTTGGAGGCATTTAGGGTCAAGAGCCTCCGATCTTAGAATTCAAGTTGGCATCTGCCTCCCCCTCCCTTGGACTCTTTGGTCTCTACCCCATTTCGAAAGGTACCAAACTCATTGGTTTTTAAAGCTACTTGCAATGTGCTTTTGTGAAAGGTTGGTGTCTGTAGAACTTCTAATTACATATAATTCTGTGTACTCTTGTCTGAATATGTATATGTATGTATTTTGATATTGAAGACAAGCTATTTTTAGTTTCCTTTTGGGTATGTTTGGAGAAACTCTTAACTGTTGCTATGCTGCTATGGAAACAGTATCCATGTATACTGACATGTTTACAATTGTTTAAAACACTATAAACTTTCCAGGGCAAAGGCAAACAGCTTACTTCCATCAAAGTTGCTCCATGCTTTCCTTTTTTATTAGTGTATTTATTACTCTCAGACCCATGTTGGAATCTGTTTCATTTGTGCCTCTGCTAAAGGGCCATTTATTTTTTATTTTATTTTTTTGCTGATGTGCATCATTTAATTGATTTCACATTCATAACTACAGTAGAGCTGAGAGCAGATGAAAATTTTCCCCTGAAATCAAAAATATGCCCTAGTCTCATTAGAACTGTGAATTGAATACCTCCTAGGCTCCCAAATGAAAAATGGAATAATACCTATTGAGGGTATGTTGATGATCTCTCTAGAATTTGCAAGCATAGGAGACTTTGATAGTCGTTTGAATGTTACTATTGTAATTATTATTTGTGTATACAGAATGAATTTAAAGACTATTCTAATTGCTTAGAAACATGCAAACCCAAAGCCAGGAGTTTTCTGGCTTATTCCAAGCATGGGGAAAAGTAGGTGGCTGAGAATGTTTACAACTTTTGGAAAGAGAATCTTAACAAAGCCACATGAATTGAAGTGAGTAAGAACCATGTTTGTTTGAAGGTACCAGGAAAATGATTTTTGGCAGGGTGGTTTTCTAGGAGTCAAAAAATATTTGAAAGTACAATCTGTAATTGTGAATCATACAGTCCTGACTATGTAAAAGGCCCACACTTTAGTAGAGCACAATATCATCCAGGACTTTAAGCCCAGAGTACTTTCTCCTTTAAAAACTCCTTTTTATCAAAATTTGGTACCTATTTTGGGTAAGTGTACAGTAAAGGAAATTTTAGCTGTCACGAAGGAGACTACTTGCCTCTCTCTTTTACTAAAATCTCATTTTTGTCATCGTCCTGAATCATTTTAAGTCACAGATCAAAAACACACCACAGAGAAGTCCTATGGGAAGGGGATGATTTGTGAAGACTTGATCAACTTGGGCCTCAGTTGCACGTGGATTCAGGGAGTCATGGAGCCAACAGTCTCCCACCCCCGCTCCCTGGGTCCCCTTCTTGCACTGTTTATATATTCTGCCACAGCTCAGCAGTGGATATTCCATTCTAAGCCCTTCATTGAACAAGGTTTATGTGATTTTTTTTTTCCCCTTCCCTGTGGGAAGGATTTCTCCCTGCCTCTGGGAGCTTAGCAGCAGCTAAGAAATGTGACCCCGAGGTCACATTCAGATTAGAACTCAGTAAAACCTGATGGGAAACTCTCGCAGTATGACAGCTGTGGCTTGATAGCCTACCATGGGGAGGAGGCAAGAGGGAGGGAGGGTTTACAGGAGGTCCTAACTGGAAGTGAATCTGGCTTAGCAGCAGCTCATGTCAAGAGGCTAAGAATTGTGCCATTAATTCCCCTGCGTTGGGAGCCTTGGGTATCAAGTGACTCCGGCAACTGGGAACCTTCAGGGTTACCCTCAGGATCAGGATGAAAAGGAGGAAGGTGGGCAGGAGCAGCAGTGTGGCTTGACACAGAGTCCTCCCCTGGCACATGCTAATTGTCTCATTCTGTTTAGATTTCTCTGAAGAAGCAGATTTCCGTTTCTGTTCTGTTGCCTCTAAGGGGATTTCCCAAATTAACCTTCTCTAAGCTTTCTTGAGGGACTGTTTTTGAGGCCTGGTGGGGAATTTCCCTCTTCTGACCAAACTGTTGTCTGGAGAGATTATTGCTGATCTTCATCTGGGGATTTTCTCACAGGCTTTTTGCTGCTTCCTGTTTCCCAAGAGTCTTTGTTCCCTGGGAACTTAAGAGTTATGGAGAGAAAGGGGGCAAACAGGTTTTAGGAAAAAGGGAAGGAGGGTGTATCCGACACAGTGGTGCTGTTCTCCCCATCCCCAGGTCTTTGTTGTAGTGATACTGGATTTGAAGATCAGGCCCAGGGACCTTGCTGACGGCTTGGGACTGATTATACTCCACAATCCACAGGAACTGGGGTTGGACGGCGTGATCACAAACTCCATTAGTGACTGGTTTATTAGAATACCTCTCCTGTATTGGGGTGGACTGAAACTCCCATATTAAAAGAAACTATTAAAGAATCATGACTCCTGATACTTAAGGATAGTGCTCTACCGTTCTTGAGTGCTTTCCATGAATCATGCACCATATTAGGGGCCTTATATACATTTCTCATGTGATTCTGGCCACAACCCAGGGAAGTAGACCTCATGAAGATTTTGTTTAGCAGATGAGCAAACCAAGGCTTGGAGAGGTTAGGTAACTTAGCCAGTTTTGTGGGCTGGTGTTAGGAGAGGTCCAATTCTGTGGGACCCCAAAGCCTGTGCTGTCGTCTTTCAGCTATACATCTCACCCAAATTTGGGATTTGTTTCTTAGCCTTTTAGGTGCTATTACCAGGAAAGTGGTGGGAAGGACCCTGAGAAGAAACAGTCCCCAAGAACAAAGGGTGAGAATATTTTAGGGGGCGGTATTGTTGTTTGTTAGCTTAGCTCTCTGCAACCTGCCCGGCCCTTTGGCTGTATGTTCATCATTTTCTCATCAGCTGGAAGGAAGTGCTGACCAGGGAGGTAGTAGGAATCAATATATAAAAGAAGCTCCAGTCAAACCAATTAATTAGTTCTTTCTCTTAGAGAACGCTTCTCTCCAACCACTGCTTTCACGTTGCTACTTCCTACTCTAGCTTTGTACATTTTATCAAGGCTCTTAGAAATAATTACCCCGAAGATAGGTCCTGGAATATCTCTGACTCTGCTCTAGCCCAGGGAAAATAATGTTCTAGAGTTGCTCTACCTTTTGATTCTTGATTGCTCTGAAGCCAGATCAGTGTCCATGTGTGCATGGGATCAGTGTGTGTGTGTGGGTGTGTGTTCTTGTGGTACCGTGTTCTCAAGGCAATATGTAATTAGCCACAGTTAGCCATGGTTGACTTTTGCAAGGTTCTCCGTGTAGTTTCAGTTCCATCAGAGAAGTCATTAGCACAGGTGAGGGTGTTGAGGGCGGCACCAGGACTGATACGGCAGTTCCTGGAAGTTCCCATGGAGAAGGAGATGCACCTGCTGCATCGTCTCCCTTTACCCACTGCACACTTTGCTGCAGATCCTCCTGTCCCAGATCTACCTAGGAGGGCTCCTAACCATATCTTCTTCATCTGTTCAATAGTGAACAGACAGTTGAGAGCTAACTGGCTGCCAAGTGATTTACCTGCATTAAATGACTTGATCCTTATCTGTGAAGTTAGGAAAAATGATTCTTATTAATTTTACCAATGAGGAAACCATGACCCTGGCTGGTTAATAATTGGCCCTAGCTCATAAACTGAGGGGCTGAGATTCAAATACTGGACTGATTCCTAGTTGAGGCTTTATTGAGGGAGGATGTAGTAAACCTTATTTATTTTTTAATCACTAGGAAAATATAGCATAGCCTTGAAACATCAAACACACAGGCTATGTTATTATTTTAAGTAATAGGTAGTAGAAAGGAAACAAGATCCTAATCAGCATGATGCCAGTGCTGAGAAAGGACGATGGCATGGCCCAGAGGCCTCTGGCCTGACAGGAAGTGGTATTTGGTAAAGCTGCCCCTCCTTTGAGCTGAGGGATCCATAGCTTCCTTGTGGTCATTGT